TTTTGGTAAATTGGATTAATGTTAAGGGTCCTAAATTGATTTAAAAGAGCATTAGAAACTTTCCTCCATGTATATTTTAATATGTTGTTGAGAATGAAGTTCTAAGCACTTTGATAAGTTAAACTATGAATTTTGCCTTTTGGTTTTAATTGTGAAATTATTCATCTATTTTATCATCAACATTGATTTTGATAAAAAGTTATATAGTTCAATAAAAACACCAAAATGATGTTATAATTGTTTCGTGTAAATGTTTCTCTGAGATTACATTTTTGAAAATGTATGCAAGCTCTACCTTATATATGTTGCCAAATAGTGTACATATGTTATATTATAAGTTAACTATATATGCTGAGTATGTATATATTTCATGCTCATATGTTGCATTTGCATATTCATATGACAGATGTGACAAGTGGGGGATAATCAAGTTCAATTACAGCAATGTTTCAAGGGCACTTATATATTTTGGTTTATGTATTCCGCTTAATTTCTTCCTTGAACAAAAATGAGATGATTACGTGAAGATATAAATGAAAGTGGAGTGATAAGGGGAATCGGTTATGTATCCATCTATCTTGTATAGATATGAGATTTGATCAACTGGACTTATAAGTGGAACTGAATTTATAAGTAGGCATTCGAATATGTGCATGAATCATATTTTCATAAGTTGCATTAAGTTATATGTTCTATTCTTAAGTCAAGGACAACTTCAAACTTCAATTCTAAAGACAAGTACAAGTGAATATAAGTTGATGTTGTTGATGCATGCAAGTTCAATTACCGACCAAGTTAACATCATGTTCAAGTTTATTGTTACAACTTATAAATTAAAGAAAGTACAATGCTTGCATGTTAAATCAAAACCCTGTTAAGAAGTAATTAGACACTAAAAACATGTTATAAATGAGATATTTCATACTTATCATGTTATTTTAAGTGAGATGTAAAATTATTGCTTTTTCTCATTCTCTTTCATGTTATTTAAATGGGGCTATTGAAAGCTTTGGTAAAGAAAGAAAAGCTTACTGAGCAAGTAGTTGATCCCACCATAAATTATATGTTATTTCATTAAAAATGAAAGGCTCAATTGAGTAGAGTAGAAATTGATCTTGTTAAAGTCGTCAAGAAACTAGTTCATAATGATTTTTTTTTAGTCCGGTCCTTATTAATGTATTTTGATGTTTTTCAAGTATTTTGGACTATTGTACACAACTATTTTTGAAATTAAAATGATTTGTGAATATTTGCTCAAGTAAGTAAATTAGATTAAGTTCAATTATTTCCTTAGATCCCCGGAGAGTGAGACGAGGGTAGTCGATGATGGAAGTCAAGTGATTATTATAGCAACTGCTGATAATGGTCATTGATAGCCACGTTGAGCAATGCAATAGAGTTATTTAGATCTCTTTGCTTCATAGCCATCCTTATGGAGAAAATATAGCTTAATTTATAGCATTTTTTAAATGGGTGTTTTGAAATGGTCCACATAATAATTCATTTGATCATATATTGTTTATTTCAGCATTTAAGCACCTTATTGATTTAGGAATTAAAAGATTTGATGCTCATTGGTTTTCTCGCATAAAACTACTCAATTTGGCGCTTAAAATGCAAAATTTGGAGATTATTTGGACTCCAACTAGTGCCCTCAAGTTCTCAATTATATTTCTGTTGCGTCCTGGAATATTCACGGCGGTAGAGAAATATAAAATTTAACGTCTTAGCATTGCACAAAGATCCAGCACACAAGCAGATTAGATAGAGGGTGTAACATTCACAAGAGACACCAGAGTTTTTACGTGGAAACCTTTGAATAGGGGGAGAAACCACGGGGCCTGGCCTAGTTTAAATGAATCCACTAGTATTTGTTGTCGATTACAAATGAGGCCCTTCCTTAGGAGATGGCATTGGCTTGATGTCACAAACTTACATCATTTAGAGCACATTACATGGTGGGAGTTACATAGACATTTTTGTTTGGTCGACAAGACCATAGTCAATGGGATAGAGGTCGGAAAGACCGTTGTCTGATGATGAAGGTTGGAAGGACAATAGTAGGCGACGGAGGTCAGAAGGACCGTAGTTGGCAGGAGACCGGGGACTGAAAGACTGTTGTCTGGTGATGGAGGTCGGAAGGACCATAGTAGATGACGGAGGTCGGAAAAATCGTAGTTGGCAAGAGGCTGGTGTCAGAAAGATCATAGTAGAATGGTGATACTTCGGGAGAACTCTTGGCGTCATGTGGTGGCCCGACAGAAGTCCGGAACTCATGTGGTGGTCCAGTGGAGCGACGACATCATGCAGTGGTCTGGCGGAGGTGAGGGTCTTTGACGGTGGTCCGACGAAGGTGAGGGCCTCCAACTGTGGTCCGGCGAAGGTGACGGCCTTCGGCGGTGGTCCGGCGAAGGTGAGGGCATCCAACTGTGGTCCGGCAAAGGTGAGGGCCTCCAACTGTGGTCCGGCGAAGGTGAGGGCCTTCGGCGGTGGTCCGGGGAAGGAGAGGGCCTCCGACGGTGGTCCAACGAGGGTGAGAGCTTATAGAGAAGGTGAGGGCCTCCGGCGGTGGTCTGAAGAAGTTGAGGACCTCCGGTGGTGGTCCGGCAAAGGTGAGGGCCTCCGGCGGTGATCCGGCGAAGGTGAGGGCCTCGGATGGTGAAGGATGAACAGATCCCCTGATTGCCAAAAATGCCCCGATCCTAGGCCATCCGAGGGGAGAATAGTAGGATTGCCATCATCATCGTCCTTCAAAACGCCAGCCGCTGGTTGCCAGAAATGGCCGTCCAGAGACGCCAAAAATCGGAGATTGTGAGGAGGTATGGTCCAGCAGGCCTTCCAATCATAAGAGGTCAGTATCAGGAAGATAAAATATGGGTGGAGCTGAAGCATTTCTTCTTATAGCATTTGAGGTAAACAGGCCTTTTGATTTTCAAAGCAATGCTTGTGTGGCTTTCAGATCAATTACCAAAAATCCGGTCATTCCGAGCTTTCCAGGTGAAATAGACAATAGCAGAAATTAAAAGGAAGCAAAAATTCTTCCTGTTTCTATCAGTTTCCCTATCATCAATGTCAATAAAAACCTGCCTAAGGTTCGGTTGAAGCAGCATAAAGTTCATCCTAGGCATGAAGCTCTTGAGGATATTGAAAGAGAAATCGCATTGGAAGAACAGATGGTCAGAGGTTTCTCTTTCAGTTTTGCAGAAAATACATATAAGATTAACAGAAATGCTTCTAGCTAGCAGTGTATCAGCCGTTTTGAGTCCTTTTTTAAAAACAAACCATGAGTATAAAGAAAAGCGCAAGGCACAGCTTTTATACCACACAAATTTGTACCAAGAGACCACCTCATTCCCAGCATAAAATTCCTTAATGAAGTTTTTGAAAGACGGTTTATCAAGATTAGCCCAGCAACAATCATCTAAATCAAAGCAGATAGGGACAGACTGAATGACAGCAGCTAAATGGGATGGAATATACAGAGGCAAATTCCAACCGCCATTAGAAATGAAACTGCTAGTAGTAAGGTGAGTATGTGTAGAAGGGAAAACCAAATTAAGATCCCTCAACCTATCTGCAATAGACTTCCCAGAGCACCAGGGATCCCAAAGGAAAGAAAGGGTGCTGTCTTGAGTAACATTGAAATTAAGGGAACGTAACATGCAGTTAGCCACATTATAGATAGCTTTCCAATACTGAGATCTTTTCAAATTGCTAGAATTCCATATAGACCCATATTTAATTTTCCACCATTGAAACAGAGTGTTAGTAGATGTATAAAATCTCCAATCAGTATTGCAGCAAGAGGCATAATGCATGGCATCAACCGAATAAATACCCAGGCCACCATACAGTTTGGGCATACAAGTCCCCTTCCATAAAACCATGTGCAGGCCTTTCTTATCAACATCACCAAAAAATAAGAATTTGGAACAAAGACTATTGATAACTTTAACACAGGTTTTAGGAATGATGGTCCCTCTCACCCAATAAGCCAGTATGTTACTAACAGTGTATTTTAAAAATTGCAAGCGGCCGGCAAGAGAAAGGTTTCTAGCTTTCCACCCTTCCAAAGAAGTCTTGATTTTAAAAATCAGCGGCTGGAAGTCATCATTTTTTAATCTTTTGTGAAAGATGGGAATGCCCAGATACTTGATTGGGGTGGTGGAGGATTGGATGTTAAGGGTGGTGCAGATAGAATGCTCATCAGCCACATTTTTGGAAAAAAGGATGGTGCTCTTGTTGCTGTTAACAACCAATCCATAAACTTTAGCAAAATTATCCAAAAGATTTTTAAGAGCAATGGAATAATCATGAGAGGTCTTAGCAAAAATTAGAAGATCGTCTGCATAAAGAAGGTGAGATATCGTAAGGTTACCAACCGTCATACCCTGAATGGAATTAGTCAGGGTGGCTTCCTCAAAGAAAGAAGAGAGGCAATCCATGACAATGCAAAACAGATAGGGTGATAAAGGACAGCCTTGTCTTAGTCCAGAGGAGGAATTGAAATAACCTTCAAGAGCCCCATTAATAATAATAGAGAAATGCACATCAGTAATGCAGCCCTGAATCCAAGTGACAAATTGAGGAGGGAAACCCTTAGCAAGCATACGACCAAGCAGGAAATCCCTCGAGACCGTATCAAAGGCCTTATGAATATCAAACTTTGCACAGAAAAATTGACGCTTAGCACTGGAATTGAAATCTTTGAGAAGCTCATCAGCCAGTAGGATGTTATCAGAAATAATACGGTCCATAACAAAACCAGATTGGCTAGGATGAATGATGGAAGGCATGACATCCTTCATCCCATTAGCTAAGATTTTAGCAATTATCTTGTAGAAAGTGTTGCAAAGAGAGATAGGCCTAAAGTCAGATATGTCTTGAGCATGAGGCCTCTTAGGAATTAAAGCAAGTGCAGTAGCTTTTGCATGCTTAGGCATGGAACCAATAGAGAAGAAATTTTAAACCGCTTCACAGATTTGTTTGCCAATTATATTTCACGTGGATTTATAGAATTCAAAGGTGTAACCATCGGGTCCAGGTGCAGAACAGTTGGGTGAAGAGAAGATGACATTCCTAATCTCGTCCACGGTGATAGGAGAGATCAGGCGGTGAGAATGATCATCAGTAAGCTTTAGATGAATTGGTGTCTCCCAAGAAGATAGGGTGGCCGGATGAGCAGTATTGAAGAGCTTTTGAAAGTGATTTATAATAGCAGGGCTAATCTCAAAAGGATTATAGAATGTACCATCTCCAGTTGTTATGCATTTGATGTGATTGGAGTTGTGTCTGACATTAATCCTGGAGTAGAGAAACTTTAGGTCATCTTCACCATTAGTTAACCAGTTAACCTTAGCTCTTTGAAGAAGCCACCCCGACCAATCCAAATTTTTTAAAGCAAGACTATGATTGGTGTCTTTCAAAGCCAAATTGAGGCCCGGATCCAAAGGAGAATCATGTATTATGCTAAGAAGTGAATTTTGTTGGTTAACAAGCTCAGAAATTTCCTGAAAAAGAGAATTAGAAGAGACCCATTGTTTTCCTTTGATGCTAAGCTTAAGAGTTTTGAGCTTTTGAAGAAAGGCATTGATAGGGCTGCTGTGAAACCGTTGAGAGAAAACATCAATGAGAACATCCCAGAATTCAATCTTAGACAGCCAATAATTCTTGAAAAGAAAACGATGCTTGTGATGTTGAAAATGGTTATAGTGAAGAATGATAGGGGAGTGGTCGGAAATCTGCGGATCATCAACAACAACAACAACAACAAAAAATTATTTTAAAAAACTATTTTAAAAAATAAAATAAAAAATCATCTCAAACGAAGCCTTATACTTCATTTGGGGCAATGCATTGTAACAGAGATTAAAATTTACATGTTCGCAACTTCCTTTGGCGACCAAAATACCTCTATAGTTGTATGTTGCATTCCGTTGTTCTAATACAAGAAAAGGGCGTAAATATCATTTCCTCTTCCCATGGTATCCCACTGAAATTTTCTACCCCCACTTGCAGAACAATTTGGAAAATTTATTCCTACTGGATACCAAATTGCCGAGAACCCTGTGTAGACATAGGAAGGAGCCGAGCTTCCTTTGTGCGTCTGTGTCGAACCGAGCAACTTCTCTTGTGCGTGTGCCAGAGACCGAGTAGCTCGCCTCCTATTCGTGTGGCTAAAAGAGACGGGAGCTTCCCTGCATGCGGCATCCAGAGCAGAGCCCTGCATTTGGTACTCATATCCACACCCACCCATGTACCCACCCATACCCAATGGGTATGAGTGGGTATGGGTACACCCATGGCCTTGTGGGTAGGTATGGATGGGTACTCAACATCGAGGGATAAATCGATTTACATTGCTAATCATCATATATCTTATATTACTGCAATACTCACTACATAGTGTGCATCACTTAAGCATGCTACGACTACGATAAATTCTGATATGCGTCTTGAAAGTTTGCAATCAGAGCAAAGGGAAATTGCCTCAATGCCATCAATCCGTGGCAGACTGCGTTCAAAATGCATGGAAAGTGGGTGGGTATAGGTGGGCATGAAATCCCGAAAGTCACCATGGGTGAGCGTGGGTGGGCGAAGACCGTTTGAGTAAAGCATGGGTACCCAACTAGGACCCCATGTAGGGCTTTGATCCAGAGCCGTGCATGACGGGCAGAACGGACGGGAGAGAGGGAGCATGAACTGTTGGTGCGTAACTGAAAGAGGAAGCCAAAACAAAGAATAGTGATTCTTTGGGTTGTTGTGTGGATGTGTTTACCTTCATAATTAATAGTATGCTAATAATTTGATTAGGCTAGCTAGAGAAACCTGCAATGCCCAGATCGGTAAATTATGAACAACACTTTCATTGCGGAGACTAATCTTTTTCTAATGTTGTTGAAGCATTTTTTTCTGACTAATTATTCTCATAATTTTTTTTTCAGTAAAATTACTACTAAAGTAATTGCACAACTAAAAAATGTGCTCCACATATTATGACATAAATATGTAGCAAAGTGTACTGATATACTTATTTGTTGTAATTTCAACTAATAAAACTTTATTGTAATTTAAAATAATATATTTTCGTAAGTTTTGTTTTGTTGTCTGAAGGTGTTTAAGGGATAAAATTATTTGATTTTAATTTAAAATTGCTGGTTTGTTATTATATTTATTTTAAGAAATTTGTTATGTAAATAATTTTTTTCATGTCGATATATTTAAGGGTATCAAAGTAATTTGTTCTCATATAGCTGCAGCACGTACAGCAGCTTGAAAGTTATACTTCTCAAATAAAATATATTGATTTATATACAACAACTTAAGAACTCAGCTTTCTGTACAACAACTTCACAACCTACTTTACTGATAGCTGTAACCGTCCCAAACAAATCCTTAAGCTTCATTTGGAACAATTTTAGATCACAGCTTTTTTATTTCAGGAGATTTTTGCATCAAAAAATAGTTTTACAAAGCAATAAGAAAGTCGTCCCAAACAAAATAATAGTACAATAGGAACCTTATTTAAGGCATTAGCTTAATTTGATGTAAGATTTAGGGTTTGGCTGAACCACATTAATATTCTGATATCTTTATTGCTCTATAGCTTAAATTTTTTACTTTTATATGATATCAGACCCTCCACTCAAGATTTAGCTTAACATCTTAGAGTTAAAATCCAAAATGTCACACTTTGTAGAGATTATTATATTAATATTATTTTTAATTTATTAAAATAATTATCAGATATGAAAAATTAGAAATTTAGTATTCTTAAGAAGTAATAATTATACATGTGGTACATAATTTTAATAGTTTATTTATCTTCCATTGAGGAAATTGAATTAAGTTATTTGTATTATTTAGACCAAGCTTTATTTTTAGATGATTTTTCACGAAATTTATATTTAATAATTGAAGAAATATATAAATTAGATGCTCTAATTCATCTGTATTTAATTGATAATCATAAAATATGGGAGGAGGAAGAAAATAAAAGCTTAAAGAAGAATATCAACATTTCAAAGGAGGTGAAGAGAAAATTAAAATAGTAATGCTAAAAGCCTAAAAGTATATAAATTTAAAGATCTTGAAGGTCTTAGTTTAAAGTCATAGAAGAGAAGAAAGAAGGGGAACTACATAGTATTTGCGCATTAGAATAAAAAAATATAAAAATAAACTTTATTTAAACATTTAGAATATTTAAAACAAGTTAAAATTCAAGTATTTTGTAAGATAATTTACACCTCATAGAGAATCACCTAGCTTCCATGGGCATGGATCTTAAGAAGCAAATTTATACCTCTCATAGTTCTTATAGTCTCGTTGAGGCGCTTGATTGACTATAATCTTATAAAAATTAGAGTTTGGATGATCTCAAATTTAATTTTTTAAGTTTTGAGACTCAAATAATCTTGATGCTCCACCAGAGCACCCCCACCAGCAAACCCTCGCCAACTGACTGTTGCTAAACTTTCGCCACACGGGCACCATCATTACAACTATGATCCCTCCAACCTCTATCTTTCACCTACTACAGTTCCTGGACCACATTCACCCGACTGCAATCCTTTCAACCTCCGTTGCCAATCTGTTATTTTCATTAGACCACCGTCACCCTTCAAAGGTTCTCCCGACTATCGTCACCCACTGATAATAGTCCTCAAACCACTATCACCCAATCTTCATCTGTAATATCCTTAACCACTCTCATCACTTGGAGTTGCATAAGCCTAAGGGGAGGTGTCAATGACTATTAATCTCCTTTTTGTATGAGGTTATTATCCTAAAGCATCTAGATTCTTGATTGTCAATCTGAAGGTTGACAGTCATCCAATTGTCAATTATCCAGTTTTCAATCATAGATAGTAAATCTATAATCATCAAAACAGCAATCAGTGATTTTTATAATCACTAGATTAATAATCATTTTGGGCATTCAATTACCTTAAGCATATCCAATCATCCATACATTCAATCTTTTTCATGCAATCCATCAACCTATAGTTCAATCAATCATGCATTCAATAATCTTCAAGTTATCAATCAACCTTCATTTATACCTCAATCAATCAACACTACAATCATTCAATCATCATCCATTATAATCAACTTCAATCATACAGCCAACATTCAATTAAATGTCAATCACCTTCTAAAGTCTACAATCATTGAACTACAATCAACTGATCTAGTGCATTGCCTTGCATAGTGTACTGACTCATTGATCTCAATCATCATTCAAATCACTTCATTAGGAACTCCATTCATCAAATCACAAATCACGAGCTCAGTAATTGATCAAGTTGACTCAGTTGAGCTAGCTCAAACTTGCCTAATTAATTATAAAGCTCAATTAAACTCCAAATCACATCTAATTTTTACTAGAACATCACTCTAGTGAATTAAGCTTGACGAATCATCTAAACCCAACCAACAATTTACTTGGTCAATTGTATCCAAGAATAATCAAACTTGACCTAAATGAGCCAACTCATAGCATACAATCAAATCAAGTTATCGTAGCCTCCTCAATCCTTCACTACCACTCTAATGCATGGTCTAAACACCTCCAAGCTTGCCATGAACTCAAACCAACCATTGGTGATCAAACCTTATTACCCATTGACCCATTTGCTTATACATTAAACCTACCCCTTTTAAACCTCTTAGAGGACAGCAAGCATATATACACCTCTAGACTTGACCTCACCACCCATTGGACCAGGTGACTGGTCAAACACTCAACTCCAATATATGAAGGAGGGTTGAATGGTCAACACATTTATCTTATGCATTTCCCTCCATACCACTCCATCCAGCCCATTTAAATGACCTCTAGAACCATCATGGACCCTAACCTGACCCAGCACAGTCATTGGTTCAACCCAACCAGCTCTAGTGGTCATGTCCCATGTGGAACAATTTAGGGGTCTTTTTCACCTGAACCAGCCCGCCTCCCTGTGTTCTAATGGCATGGGAGAGCTTTAATGCATCCAGAGGCTTCACTTGATCAATTCGGTCATCCAAGGCAACTCCAGTGCCTGAATAGGGTAAACCATGCAAAAATGTTCATTCGGATTTTACACTCTATGTAGTTGCTTCCTAGACAAAAGCTTTTTTGATTTTTCTTCCTCAGAGCCTCTCCTTCAGTCCATGATTTTTTTTTTTTTTTTTTTTTTTTTTTTTTTTTTTTTTTTTTTTTTTTTTTTTTTTTTTTTGGTGTTTGGAAGCTGCTGGCGGCAAGGTTGACAAAGGACCAAACGTTTGCCTATCCAGCTGTTCAAACTCTCTTTCTAGGCCTTCTCTTTGCTTACAGACTTTAGAAAAGTTGTAAAAGAGCTCTCAACGAGAATAATAAGACCTCAAGCGCCTTCTAATACCATCTGTGCATGGGTAAAACTCAAACCCTAGTTAGTTATCTAGATTTTCAAATAAGGTCTTAAACGTTGCATCAAAGGCCTTAGAAACTCCTCCCCACTCTTTCTTAGATCCTACTCTACCTCTGTTTAATCTTTCAAGCCATTTGGTCTACTGTATCGAGCGTATAAGGCTAAGTGTGAGCTTAAGGTTTACGGTGAACTCACGAGGAAGATGAAATCATTCATAATTAAAAATAAAATTGGCTTAATTTGATTAATATTATATTGATTATTTTAATAATATAAATATTCTATTTTTTAATTTAAAAAAATATATTAATCATATTAATCTAAATTTTGGCATCATTTTACTAGGGTCTATCCCTGATCTTTTCTTGGTTTTTCTAAGGCCATTTGACGCAAGCTTAATCAATACATGAATTTATAAAAGCCTAAGTTATGATTTGACCTAAATTTTTAACAATTCATAATTAAATCAATCCATGTCCAATCATTATATGTTAGGGCTCTATGGAATCAGTGAGAGAGCCGCTTTTATTTAAAAATAAACCTAAGGCATGGTCCTACATAGTTTAAGAGAAAATGATCATTGATGGTTTAATTAAGGACTTTTGCACAATGCTCTCAATCTAATCTGAATCACACATTTCTAATAGTTGGATTATCAAGCTTGAAGGCCATTATGTGACCTATAACTTTGATAATTCACTCTAATAATTCCATAGAGCATTAGGTCTTCATATTGATGTGGTGTGATTGTATAATTGTAAACATGGGTTAGTAGTGATAATGATTTGTTAACCATTCAAACATAAGAGACAATTAAGGATGACAATTAATTAAGGACGTGTCTACCAAACTTAGAAAAATTATA